TTATTATTTTTTTATTTTCTTTTGTTTCTTATTATTTTTAATAATCAAAATAATAATACTTAGAATTAATGATTTTGCATTATTTTTCATTTTCATTTAATTTTGCCTTTCAAACATTATTTATCTTTTCTTCTTTTTAATGCATGGGACACTATCCTACACCTGTATCCATTTATAGAATATTTTGTGTATATATATTCATATGTGTGAAGATTTCATCTAAGGCAAAGGAAAGGTTTTTTTACTGTAAGAACAATCAGGATGTGGAATTCTCTGCCTGAGGAAGTGGTTTTATCAGAGTCCATACAGATGTTCAAACGGCTTCTAGATGCATACTTGCAAGAACAGAATATTCAAGGATATAATCTTTCAATGTAGGGTAATAACTGCTTGATCCAAGGCTAAATCTGACTGCCATTCTGGGGTCAAGAAGGAATTTTTTTCCTAGCTTGTTGCAAAATTGTGCTTCAAACTGGGTTTTTTTGCCTTCTTTTGGATCAACAGCAAAAAACAAATGTGAGGTAGGCTGAACTTGATGGACGCAATTCTCTTTTCAGCTATGTAACTATGTAACTATGTAACTATGTATTTAGATACTTCTTGTTTCCTATCCACATGCTCCCCTACGGATTTGGACTCCTGCAGTGTCTATATACCAAGGAACAGTCTCCTGGCAAGTTAGGTAGTGTGTTTACGTGATATGGTGTAGCGGTGTCGCCAAGTAGATGGAGTGTCTGAATGATGAGATGACATAGTCATGCGCCCCAAAGCTTGTATTCTTATTTTAGATATAGCACATATGATGTGTGCCCCCCAGTTGTGTCTGTTGTCTACAGTGTGCTGTCTTACATATTACCTCCTGGATATGCCACTGCTTGCATACAGAGCAGTCATACAATGCACATACTGAATATGGACCAGGGAGATACAGCACACTCTGAATGCATGGCAATAAGACAAGGCACACTCTATATGTAGATCAGAGAGACACAGTACTCGCTGAATGGAGAGCAATCAGACATAGAGCATGCTGAATACAAAGCAGTCAGACAAAACACACTCTGGATGTAGAACAATGAGACACAGCACGCTAAGCAGAGCAGTCATACAAACCATACACTAAATACAGACCAGTCAGACACAAAACACTCTGAATGCAAAGCAATAAGACAATGCACACTTTTAATGTAGAGCAGTGAATGCAGAGCAGACAGACATAGAACACTCTGAATGCAGAGCAAACAGACACAGAACAATCTAAATGCAGAGCAGTAAGACACAGAGTGCTCTGAATGCAAAGCAGTCAGACATAGAGCCTTCTGAATGCAGAGAAAATAGACATAGAGCCCTCTGAATGCAGGACAGACAGACATAGAGCGCTCTGTATGCAGAGCAGACAGACATAGAGCTCTCTGAATGCAAAGCAGACAGACATAGAGCGCTCTGAATGCAGATCAGTCACATAGAACACTTTGAAGCCAGAGCAGTCAGACATAGCAACTATCCGAAAGCAGAGCAGGAAGACATAGCAGTACACTGAATATAGAGCAAACAGTAGATATTCCACAAATTGCAACCATCAAAATAACTGCATACAAAAATCAAGACTGAAGTAAATCATGAATGAAAGGAAAGAATCTCAGAGCTCTGGGAAAGGTGAAAATGCACAGATACTAAAAGAGAAATATAGACCAAAATAATAACCAGGCTAGAGGAGAAATAGTAATACTGATGAATGAAGAAGAGGTTACAGACTTAACATATTGATAACTGTAAAAACCCCAAAACAAATGTATGGATAACGGATAAAGAAATACTTGAAAAATTGTCCCAGAGAGACATATAAACACATTTTTTATTGATGGCAAGTTTTAGAAAATAAGAGTTAAATCCTTTGCTACAAAACATAATTTTTTTTTTTATATAAAATGCATTTTAAACATCACATGCACAGCCAGCGTGCAAAGGCTAAAAAGTAGAGTTGAGCGAACCCGGACTGTAAAGTTCGGGTTCGTACCGAACATTCCGGTTTTTGGACCCCGGACCTGAACACGACATATCACTGTATGTTCGGGTTGGAGTTCAGTGTTCGGCGATTTAATGGAGCGTTTTCAAAGGCTGCAGGGCAGCCAATCAACAGGCGTTTGACTTGTGTGCCCTTAGAAGCCATCACAACCATGCCTACTAATGGCATGGCTGTGATTGGCCAGTGCAGCATGTGACCCAGCCTCTATATATAAGCTGGAGTCGCGTAGTGCCGCACGCACATGAGCTCTTATTAGTGTAGGGAGAGGATGCTGCAGCTGTGAGGGACAGCTTAGGAAAGAATTCTGCAAACTAGTACAATAATGGGGTGCTCTTCATATCTGAGAGTCAAATAGAAGCTTCAAATACTGCGGTTACATAGGAGTTTAAAAAGTAAATGTTTTTGGTGCTAAATAGTACATTAGTGGGGTAGTACATTAGTGCGGTGCACTTCATATCTGAGAGTCAAATAAAAGCGTCAAATACTGCTGTCACATTGCAGTTTTAAAACTTAAAATTTTGTTGGGTGCTAAAAAGTACATTAGTTGGGTGCACTTCATATCTGAGAGTCAAATAGAAGCGTCAAATACTGCGGTCACATTGCAGTTTTAAAACTTAAATTTTTTTGGGTGCTAAAAAGTACATTAGTGGGGTACACTTCATATCTGAGAGTCAAATAGAAGCGTCAAATACTGCTGTCACATTGCAGTTTTAAAACTTAAAATTTTTTGGGTGCTAAACTGCAAAATAGTATTTTAGTAGGGTGCACTTCATATCTGAGAGTCAAATAGAAGCGTCTAATAGTGTGCTTACAGCACAGTGGTAAACATTCTAATTGCTTTGCTGCCAATCTGTTAAATAGTACATTTTGGGGTGTGCACTTCATATCTGAGAGTCAAATCGAAGCGTCTAATAGTGTGCTTACAGCACAATTGTAAAACTTATAATTTTCTGGGTGCCTATCTGCTAAATAGTAAATTTTGGGGCATGCACTTCATATCTGAGAGTCAAATAGAAACGTCAAATAGTGCGCTTACAGCGCAGTGGTAAACATTCTAATTGTTTTGGTGCTAATCTGTTAAATAGTACATTTTGGGGTGTGCACTTCATATCTGAGAGTCAAATCGAAGCGTCTAATAGTGCGCTTACAGCCTAGTGGTAAACATTCTTATTTTCTGGGTGCTAATCTGCTAAATAGTAAATTTTGGGGCCTGCTCTTCATATCTGAGAGTCAAATAGAAGCGTCTAATAGTGTGCTTACAGCGCAGTGGTAAACATTCTAATTGCTTTGCTGCTAATCTGTTAAATAGTACATTTTGGGGTGTGCACTTCATATCTGAGAGTCAAATCGAAGCGTCTAATAGTGTGCTTACAGCACAATTGTAAAACTTAAAATTTTCTGGGTGCTAATCTGCTAAATAGTAAATTTTAGGGCATGCACTTCATATCTGAGAGTCAAATAGAAGCGTCTTATAGTGTGCTTAGAGCGCAGTGGTAAACATTCTTATTTTCTGGGTGCTAATCTGCGAAATAGTACATTTTGGGGCCTGCTCTTCATATCTGAGAGTCAAATCAAAGCGTCTAATAGTGTGCTTACAGCGCAGTTGTAAAAATTCAAATTTTCTGGGTGTTAATCTGCTAAATAGTACATTTTGGGGCGTGCACTTCATATCTGAGAGTCAAATAGAAGCGTCTAATAGTGCACTTACAGCCTAGTGGTAAACATTCTTATTTTCTGGGTGCTAATCTGCTAAATAGTACATTTTGGGGCCTGCTCTTCATATCTGACAGTCAATTCGAAGCGTCTAATAGTGTGCTTACAGCGCAGTGGTAAACATTCTTATTTTCTGAGTGCTAATCTGCTAAATAGTACATTTTGGGGCCTGCTCTTCATTTCTGAGAGTCAAATAGAAGCGTGACTTTGATTCAAATTTAATACATCGGTCACTTGTAATATTGTTTCACACCTACAACACTTGAAACACAGATCTAAGTGATAGAAAACAGATTGATATTTTCTACACTAGAAACTACCAGATAACAAGCTGCTATATTTAAACCAGTTATCAATAGCTAAGAGGTACTTAAACAATGTTGTAATTCTGGGGCAATACCCTCACAAGTCAAACTGAGAGGTCAGTTTATAGGGAAAACTTCCTGGATACAATTCTAAAATTGGGAAAACTGCCTGGATACAATTCTAAAACAATTTACATATGTCCTTTGCAGACTTTACATGCTGGAAAAATACAGGTGCCAACTGCTGTGGTTTTCTGCAGTGTGCATACCTGCAAGGAGGGCAGGGTTGAGGAGTGGGTGGAAGATGATGTGGAGGATGATGAGGTCCTAGACCCCACATGGAATCAAGGTCATGCGAGTGACGTGTTCAGTTTGGAGGAAGAGGCAATTGTTGCACAGAGGCACCAGCACAGCATAAGAGGGAGCAGGGTGCAAAAGCGGAGCGGCCGTCCCCTAGCGCTCGTCGGCATGTATTATCTTTAGAATTCCCACAGTTATCCAAGTAGCAGTTGAAGCGATAAAAAGAACCATAACAGATTTAACAAGCCATTCGCAGTTTCACAGTCCGGTGACTGGGACCCAGACACAGTCTGGGCAGCGGTCGAACGACCGGGACCAAGTATGCCTGATGTAGAAGTTAGGAGTCACAGTGTGGAATGGATTAGCAAGGTCTGGTGCAGGGTAACTGCACGCCCCCTGGTGTGGAGCACCAGTGTTTTGTGCGGCCACATACCAGGACCCTGATGCAGCTCAGCAAAAAGAGTCCTGCATACCAGAAGCCATCACCAGACTGATCTGCAACTTGGAACAGGATGTGACATTCACTGTAGTGGCTGTGCGCGCCTGTCTGCACTGCAACTTTGCCCTTCCCGCTCACTGCCTCATATGTGACGTGCCCACAAGATGGAACTCCACCTTGCACATGCTGGAGAGACTGTTTGAGCAGCAGCAGGCGATAGTGGAGTTTCAGCTGCAGCACACACGGGTCAGTGGCTCTGCACCAGACTTCCTTCCAATTGATCAGAGTTAAAGGATTTCCAGTGGACTAATTACAATTACAGGGCCTCTAAAGAGTCCTGTATTGTTATTTGTCGTCACTACCTTTCCGCATTGGGAGTGGCTCCTGCTGTCTTCCTTGCATGTGGTAGCCGTTTGTCAGGGTCCCTGTACAGAATCGAACCCTGTTTTCCCGTTACCAGTGGTCACCATGGTAGGCGCAGTCAATGGAATCTAAAGTTGATATGGATTGACATACGAATGCGTCGTCGCCCTCTCGTTGGGGAGCACATTGAAAAAGTGCTCTAGCATGACGAGCTGGGTGATCTCCTCCAGGAACTTGGCTTGATGGGAGTTGAGCCAGTCCCTTGTAATGCCACAGTATATACCCAGAAACTATGTACCCATTAGCAGAGGCTTGTGAAGGCCTTTTCTCCATGCATCAGGAGTTGAGCATTTCTCCATGCATCAGGACTGTAAGAAATGCACCGCAGGCCGCAAATGTTTCTTTTTTATATGTCCCAATATTTTGGGGGCTACCCCAATTAAAAAAATATATATATATAAAAAACAGTGTTGGCTACCTCCTCCTCCTCCACCGCTGCTTCCACCTACACCGCCACGGTCTCCGCCTCCTCAACCTATGGGTCACTTAGTATAAACTATGTACACATTAGCAGAGGCTTGTGAAGGCCTTTTCTCCATGCATCAGGACTGCAAGAAATGCACCGCAGACCGCAAATGTTTCTTTTTTTTTATATGTCCCACTATTTTGGGGGCTACCCCAATTTAAAAAAAAAAAAACAGTGTTGGCTACCTCATCCTCCTCCTCCACCGCCGCTTCCACCTACACTTCCATGGTCACCGCCTCCTCAACCTATGGGTCACGTAGTATAAACTCTGTACACAATAGCAGAGGCTTGTGAAGGCCTTTTCTCCATGCATCAGGAGTTGAGCTCAGTTTGAACAATGAAAGAGAATACCCTGCACTCCAACCCTCTCTCAAATGGATCATTCTGGTGATCCTCCTGACAGTCATGCTTTAGATTTTGATTTATGTTCGTCCAAAGCTAAAATCAAAGATTCCATCTAGTGCTATTTTATGGCTCAGCTGTATTTTAAATTTGTACGTTATTTTAAGTGATTTCCCTATCCACATTTGTTTGCAGCGCACTTGTCCTACTCCTACTCATTTTGCTAGCCCTTTCCAGGAGTTTTTTAGAGGCATTTTTTGTGCCCAAAAGTTCGGGTCCCCATTGACTTCAATGGGGTTTGGGTTCAAGGTCAAGTTTGGGGTCAAGTTCGAGCCCGAACCCGGACCTTTTTTCAAAGTTTGGCTGAACCCGCCGGACCCGAACATCCAGGTGTCCGCTCAACTCTACTAAAAAGTACATTGGAGTACAGTTTTCCGTTCTGGGATACCTAAAAATTCAAATTATATATATTTGCATAAATTATTTTTTAGGGAAATTTTACAGTAGTATTGGAAGTGGTAATCTCTATCTCAAACAGCATCTGTTTAGCCATATTCACAACATTTATTTCTAGATAATAGCAATGGTATTGGTTTCCTAATCAATAAAAGAAGGGTAAACATTATATGACTCTTTACAAGAAGTGTTTTGGAAGACTGTGCAAGTCACATGCAGGAAGATGTGCCTAGGGCTGCATAAACAAAGTGATTTAACTCCTAAATGGCAGAGAACTGAGCAGACTGCAGAAGCATGATCTATACACTAAACCTACTTTATTAAGCTAAAGTTGTTTTGGTGACTATAGTGTACCTTTAAATGCACTGTGCATTAAGGAGACCTAAAAAATGATTATCTTTCAGGAAGTGAGTATGGACACTATTGGAGTTCACAAAAAGGAGAATTCAAAATGTGTTTCATATTTAAAGCCAAAGTAGCTGAGTTGGAAAAGTTCTGTAAGGCCACGTTGGCTACTTGACCTATAATCTTAAATTCACTTTGAAATTTGAAGTTATTTCACTCCTAAATGGAATTCAGAATTGAGCAGTGAGACTGCAGGGCAATGACCTTTACACCAAAACTGCTTAAAATGCTGGTTATTTTGTTACTTACATTGTCACTTTAAACAACTATTGTTTGCATATTTCCTGAAAAGATATATACATTTTTACAAATCTTATATCAAGCATCTGTACCACTTCTGCAGCTAGAATTCAAACAGTTACAAAGCAATTTAAAATGCATATTTTTAACTGCATTGCTCAAATACATTAAAAAATATGCATTGACTAAATGATTTTCAATTAGCAGCAATTATAAGAATTAGCATTTGTTTACGTTAAATATACAGTATTAGTAAAGGTAGGAGAATGTGAACTCAAAAGTCACTCATCAAAGTCTCATTTTCAAACTGATAACTACACTACCATTATTATTGCTCCACTTTATATTCCAATTAATTTGCTCAATTTATTAGAGGTCAGATAAAAACAGCATAATGCATAAAATGAGTTACACTTATGAGTTGCCCTATTTACTAGGGAAGCTTGTTATTATAAAAACCTAGTATCTAGACTAGAGCCACATTAAGAGCCCATTGGGTCCGGTGCTGACAGTTGTGAAGGGCCTTATCGACAGAAACCATTAAAGCAGTCATAGCCCCCATGCGCCATGTATCTGATGGAGGTGGTGCTGGAGCATAACACTGCGTCCTCCGGCCTGCCTCTTTCCCGTAATGTTTCCTGCTATAATCTCTTCCCCAGATAAACAATAAATAGAAAACATGATTCATTGACCAGGCAACCTATTTCCATTACTCCATAATCCAGTTCTGATGCTCATGTCCCCATTGAAGGCACTTTTGGTGGTGGACATCATGGGCACTCAGACCAGTCCATGGCTACGCAACCCCATTCACAGCAAACTGTGATGCATTGTGTGTATTAACACCTGTCTATCATGAAAGAAAAATTTTACTTTCACACTATTCAAAACCCCTATGCACATTTAACTAACTGTTTTTTTTTTTGTTTCACTCCAATGGCCATTAAGATGTAAGCGCTAATGTCAATTTGTGATACTAAAAACCTAGTTATTTAAATATGCATAGGGATTTGGGATAGTGTGAAAGTAACTTTTTTTTATTTTATGTATTGGGGCTGATGTGTACTAGAGTCATTGCAGACTCCGCGGAAAAGTGGGAGTTTAAGCTCATGGCTTAATTTTGTAGCTTGCTATCATTACCAACATTATGTTTTTCAGCAATTTGAGCTACAGTAGCGCTTCTGTGTGATTGGACCACATGAGCTAACCTTCGCTCCCCGTTTACATCAATGAGCCTTCGGAACCCATGAACCTTACGCCAGTTAACTGCTTGTTTTTCTTTACACCACTTTGGTTGTACAAACCACTGCAACCCACAAGACTTGTCATTTTGGAGATGCTCTGACCCAGTCGTCTAAAACTCACTATTTGGCCCTTGTCAGAGCCACTCAGATCTTATCGCTTGCCCAATTTTTCCTGCTTCCAACACATGAAATTCAAGAACTGACTGTTCCCTTGCTGCCTAATACATCCCACTCCTTGACAGGTATCATTGTAATGATATAATCAATGGTATTCACTTCACCTGTCAGTGGTTTAAATGTTGTGGCTGATCAGTGTATCTTCACACATTCTTCAAGTTAGTCCACCGAGCTTAGGAATGGAGGTTATAGTCTGTATTGTTTCAGAGCTTTTTTTATACAATTATAATTGGAAGCCTTATTACTGGGATATTTGACTTATATTTTTAAACTTGAGTCCTGAAAGCAAACTGAATGACAATTTATTTTTATAGCATTTCACAATAAATGTCAACCAACAAAATATTAAGACAACATTCACGTTACTCACATGGCTATAATCAATTTAATCAATACATTTTAATTGTAGTTAGAGTTAATTAGTTTTATACTTAAATTGTATTTATATGCCCACCATAAAACCCAAGAGAATAATCTTGGAAAATGTATCTTGATAAAGATTTGATTATTTAATAAAATAAATATATAAATATATTAAAAATAAATGCTACAGGCTTTGATATAAATCAAATAAAACGAATTAGCAAGCTTGCAGGATGTCAGAAAATGGCTTTAATTATCATAAGATTAACAGCTGCAAAATTAACAACTTTCTTTTATGTTTAATTAGAATAATGAAAAACAGGTCCAAAGCATGCATTAAAAATAATTTAAAAAAATATATAGAATATTAAACATTAAAGAAATTTTGATCACCATAGTCTGAAATTGTCTTAATTTCATATCATATTTACTTATGTGTTATAGGACTGAAAGTCAAAGTAATTAAACTAGAAATTAACACATAAAGTTCCGAATCCATTTGAGATTTAAATATTTTGCAGTATCAACTGTATTTAACAATGTATATGATATACTGGCTTTACCCTTCTTATATCAAAAGTATACCCTAGAGAATAAATCCACAGCAACGTTCCCTTCCTCTCCAGTCATGATCTTCCCCGACGGATAAAAAAAATATTCACTAGAGCTCAGTCCATCTACATTGGTCTAATGCCTCGTTTCCACTGAGTGGTATGGTTTGGGTCGGTACAGTTTGAAAGGGTTAAAATGGTCCAGCCTATTCAGGTGAGCGTTTCCACTGCAAGTCGGATCGCCATGGGGCATGCGGTGTTTACACCAAATGCCTAGCGTGTCATTTGTTGTGAGCATTGACTTTTTCCTGTCCGTCAATCAATGGATTGTAAAGTGTGATGCCAGTAGCTCCGCCCTAACCGTACCGTACCATTTCCTATGGACCTACATCTGAAGGGGGCAGTTTGATTCGGTTGTATGGGCCACTTTCATAATGGAAACACTCAAAATAGCGTACCAGACCGTACCGATCCGAACCGTGCCGCTCAGTGGAAACGAGGCATATTAGACTGTTAAAAACCTCATGCTTCTCCAGCATTGAACTTCAACCTAGAAGGTCAGATGTGTAATGCTGCTGTAAAGCACCCAAGAAGGATGATTGAAGGACTTTCTACATATTGTTACACTTATATGTACTCTGCTCTAATACATTATTTCTACATTTCATTGTCAGTATTTGGGAACAAATGCTCAGTGTACTACTATGCATGAATAAATGGTGTTTTTATCTTTATATCAATATTTTTTTTTTTTTTTTGCAAGGAGTCCATGTGAATTATTGCAAAGCATGAGACTGATAGAGTTATTCATTAAAGTAAGAATTGCAGTGAATCAAAGTGAATTCAAATGTAAGGTCAAAATAACTGAACTGGAAAAATTCTCCACGTCAGCTTTGCCTTTAATTTGGCTACTATGGCCTTCAATTTGAAATTCACTTAATTCCCCACAATTCATACTTTACTGAATAATCCTGTGTTGATGGTTTTCAGTGAAGCGAAGGTCAAAAATAGCATGATGCATACCTCATCAGGTTTGTGGTACAACATTCAGTCATCACAGTCTTCCATAGAGAATCATTGCATACAAGAATCATAGGAGCATACAAGAATCATAGGAGCATTGCACCAAGTGATGAGGAGCAT